CTGGGAGTTGAAGTCCACCAAGTCTCCAAGTGGCCAAGGTTGGACACCCCCTTCAGCTGGGGAATTCTGGGAGTCGAAGGGGCTGGACTAGAAGACCTCCCAGCCTCCCAACTTCTCTCCTTTCTGTTCTTTCAGATTTCCAGCCTCTTGGGCGCCTGCCGCCATGGCTTTTTCATCGCGGTTTGCCTTTTGGGAGCAAAAGGGAAGTGCCGTGGTTGTGGTTGTGCGTCTGCTAGTGTTTCTCACGCCCTCCCCCCCTTCTTTCCTTGCACGCTTTGACACGTTGGGGAGGGGAAGCATGCCCCCCCCCCAAAAAGGGGAAGGGGCTTCGGCGCCAGGCACCGCCAGAAACACTCCAACTCCAGATTGTTTCTGTCAACAACCATGGTGTGTGTGTGTGTGTGCCTCTAATCAGCCTTGGATCCTTCCGGGGGGGGGGGGAGAGATCAGCCTCTTCCCTTTTTCCATAGCCCTCCCCCTCCCCAAATTCTGCTGGGCCAAGGGGCAGCCCCTCCCTCAACGGCTTCTCCTGGCCGCCTCGCCCAAATCTGGGAGGATAACTTGCACGAGAGTCTTTTCTGCTCACTAACTGCACTTTTTGTGTGACTTACGGGGTTGTGTGCACAGCATGGCTGGGGGCTGCGTCCCTGGGGGTTTTTTTGGGGGGTGGGGGTGGATGGAGGGGAGTCCCTCCAGGCGGGAATTGGGCAACCGGGAGTGGGGGGAGTGTCCGTCCCCTTTTAGGAGTGGTTCTGGTAACCGTTGCGGGGGTATCCTGAAAAACTCTCCTCCCCCCCCCCCCGAAATACAGTTTGGGGAGGGTCAGAGTGGGCTTTCAGACTTCGGTATCCGTTGAGGGCGTCGTTTCTTTGCTCCAGGGCATGGACAGAGTGCAGGAAGTCCTTCCACCAGGGTGGAAGAAGGAAGATCCCCTGCTTTGGGCAAAGGGTTGGAGTAGATGTGTGTGTGTGTGTTCACACGTGTGTGCATGCAGCTCTGACACACTTCTGACGTGCCCGCCGAACGAAACCGTACCTCTTTCTCTCCCCACTCCACTTCCAGGTTAAGGATGAAGACAAAAGTTTAGCTGTGAAAAAAAATGGGAACGAGGACGGTCCCGTAAGTGAATCTGTGTTTGCACCCAACCTAGGCTGACTTGTGGGTCACAATAAGGCTTTTTTTTTGGGGGGGGGGGTCAGATCAGGTGGCCCCTCCTGGCTGGATTGGCCATGGGGATTGAATACTTTATTTGGCCAGGTGTGCTTGGACACGCACGGAGTTCGTCTCCGGTGCAGAAGCTGTCAGGGTACATGCAAAGCAACGGAATAATGATCGTAATGTTTCCTGGCCGGATGCCTTTCCTTGTCTCCGGTGCGGAGGTTTGTTTGGCCGATCTATTCTCATGGTTGCCCGCAGGGAGAAATATCTGCCCCCTACCTAGGACCGAACTCGCAGCCTCCTGACTGTGAGGCGAGAGCTCCACCCACTAGGCCTTGCCACACACCCCTTATTACGTTTGCAAGTCATGACGGTCATAAAAGGGATCATGCAGATAACCGGCCCTGATGTTAGGATCATTCTGGTTGTCGGTTGTCGTTGAGCGCATCATTAAAATAACCACTCTGGTGTTTTTGCTAAAAATCAGAAGTAAATGCCATTTTTTGGGGGCGGGGGTCAGTAATATCATAAAACCCAGTCATACGACTGCAGCCAGCCATAAATGCAGGCCGGTTGCCGAGCGCCCAACCTGTGGTCATGTGGCCACAAGGAAGGTTGAATGACCACTGGACTTTTGGAATCGAGTCATAAAGTACCCCTATTTTAAGTTTTAAAATAGACTTTATTTACAAAAGATTAAAACACGAACAAAAATAGAAAGAATATGAATAGAAAAATAAACATATTTCTATTACATTTGATATTAAGATCGATAGCTCATAGTAAACAGTAATAAGTAATCATGGGCATGTATTCCTTATCCCTTATCAATTACCTATTAATTAATAAATAATATATTATTCTGCTATTACTATTGGATTATAAACTGTATTGGTTAATCGAATGGAGCCTTCATAATATTTATACAATAGACAAGAAGCTTGAAATCGTTATTATCATACATTCAATATGTACAACTATATCTAGTAGGTGTCCTGAGTTTATTGATCCTGTATACCTTACCTACCTATACCTACCACTTATCCCAGACCAAGTAACATTTAATTCCTTCCCATTTAATTTGAGCGTGAGCCTCTCCAATCGGTCAGAACTTTAGTTGGTCACAAAATGACCAGTCCTAAGTCGAGGACTACCTGGGGGAGGTTTTTCTTTCTGTGGATCTGGGGGGAGCCGCCTGAGGGAGGGTCTTAGGCCCGTGATGGAGAACATAGGGCACACAGACCCCTCTCTGTGGACGCGCACACGCTGTCGCCAGCTGCTTTTCCGGTTTCCAGACCAGCTGACTGGAGCGCACGCATACGCTACGAGCATCGGAAACCCAAAGACCAGCGGGCTGGCACGCGCATACCAGGGGTGGGATTCTACCAGTTCAGACTAGTTTTATAGAACCGGTTGTTGGGATTCTGCCCAGTTCGGAGAACCGGCAAATCGTGCCACTGGCTGGCCCCTCCCTGCCCACTCATGCGCATGCGCGCCATCCAACTTGCCTGCTAAGTTACTATTTTTCCTTTTTTTTCCCTCCGACTATCAGCTGTTTTACTGTGCCGGGAGATTTAGATTCGCTACAAAGCAGGAAATTTGTTGGATTTCTTGCTTTCTAGCTAATCTAAAAGCAGAGCTGAACCTCCCTTAGGACTGAAGCTTCTATTATTCAGCGCAGACTCAGGTAGCCGATGGCAGAAAGGTAGATCTCTGAGTGAGTCTGTGATTCTGCGAGCAACTCAATCTGCCTGCCTGCTTTGCCTGATTTGGGGTCAAAGTTGCTCTTCTTCTTAATTAAAAAAAAAAAAAAGCAATATTTACACACATGGTGCGTTGTGAGTTAATTTGGTGAGTTTGCTTGCCAGCAAATTTTATGTGACAGACTCAGGTAGCAGATGGCAGAAAGATAGATCTCTGAATGAGTCTGTGATTCTGGAAGCAACTCAATCCGCCTGCCTGCTTTGCCTGGTTTGAGGTCAAAGTTGCTCTTTTTTTTTAAATAAAAAAAATTCCATATTGACATCAATATTTACAATATTTACACACAAGCCACGCCCAGCCAGTCACACGACCACCAAGCCACACCCACAAATTAGGCCACACCCACAGAACCGGTTGTTAAGAAATTTGAATCCCACCCCGGCACATACGCCACTGGCCAGCTGATGTTTGGGGTTTCCAGCACTCCGGCGCATGCCAAGACCAGTGGGCCAGCAGGCATGTGCGCGCCAGAAACCTGTAAACCAGCTGCATGCACACCGGGCCATTCTGGTTGGCGCACTCGTTGCCGAAAAAGTTCTCCACCCCTGTCTTAAGACTGTGTGGATCACTTGCCTGAATCTTTGGGAGGTCTTGGGGGGTGGGGGGTGCTTTGATGGTTGGACCTACTTGCAACCCATTGATGTTATGGGGTTCTTGAACTGGGTTGTTGCTTTGCAGACGTTTCGTGACCCAGCTAGGGAACATCATCAGTGCTAGAAGGGAGGGTTTTTTGTGGGTTTTTTTGGCAGAATGGAAGCGAAGAAGAAGGGAAGAGGAGGAGAAAGAAGAAGAGGAGGAGGAGGAGAAGAAGAAGGAAAAGGACAGTGGGGTCTTTGGTGCTCTCTGAACCTTGGTTTGTTGTCTTGCAGACGTTTCATGACCCAACTAGGGAACATTATCAGCGCTTAGAAGGGGTGCCGTTTGCTCCCTGTTTATAGATTATAGTTTGCCTGCCGGTGTTGCTTTGGGGGTTGTTTTCCTTCTTGGTAGCACCTGGATGAGGCTGTTGGGGACACGTGGGGAGAATCAGAGAGCAAACCCCTCTCCCTTCTAGCCCTGCTGATGTTACCTAGTTGGGTCATGAAACGTCTGCAAGAAAATCACCAGGCTCAGAGAGCATCAAGGCTTCCCACACACCCCCACCTCCTCCTCTTCCTCTTCCTCTTCCTCCTCCTCTTCCTCTTTTTCCTCCTCTTCCTCCTCCCTCTTCCTCTGTCTCCTCTTGTTCCTCCTCCTCTTCCTCCTCTTGTTCCTCCTCCTCCCTCCTCTTCCTCCTCTTCCTCCTCCTCTTCCTCTTCCTCTTCTTCCTGCTCTTCCTCCTCTTCCTCCTCCTCTTCCTCCTCCTCCTCCTCTTTCCCCTCCTCTTCCTCCTCTTCTTCCTCTTCTTCCTCCTCCTTTTCCTCCTCTTCCTCTTCTTCCTGCTCTTCCTCCTCTTCCTCTTTCTCTTGTTCCTCTTTCTCGTCCTCTTCCTCTTCTTCCTCCTCTTCTTCCTCCTCTTCCTCTTCCTCTTCTTCCTGCTCTTCCTCCTCTTCCTCTTTCTCCTCTTCCTCTTTCTCCTCTTCCTCCTCCCCCTCCTCCTCTTCCTCTTCCTCTTCTTCCTCCTCCTCTTCCTCCTCCCTCCTCTTCCTCTTCCTCTTCCTCTTCCTCCTCTTGTTCCTCCTCCCTCCTCTTCCTCTTCCTCCTCTTGTTCCTCTTCCTCTTCCTCCTCTTCCTCCTCTTCCTCCTCCTCCTCCTCTTCCTCTTCCTCCTCTTCTTCCTCCTCTTCTTCCTCCTCTTCCTCTTCCTCTTTCTGCTCCTCTTCCTTCTCCTCCACCTCTTCCTCTTCCTCCCCCTCCCTCGTAGCACTGATAATGTTACCTAGTTGGGTCACGAAAGGTCTGCAAGGAAACCACCCCTCACAAGAGAGTCCCAAGCCCCCACCCCCTTCACTCGAACCCCAATCCTCCAGCCTTTCTCGTCTCTCGGTGATCCCTTGTTGTGTCTGTGCCTCCAGCCCGGCTCCCCGGTCGCCGAGAAGGAAGCCCCCAGCCTCCGCCTCCAGAGCCCGGAGCCCCCCACGCATCCACGGGGCAAGGGGAAGAGCCCGGAGCCCCTGATCAATGGGGAGGCCCAGCCACCTTCCAGCCCAGCGGTGAACGGCCTGGAGGGGCCCCACGCCGAGGCTCAGCCCGGGGCCCCGGCCGAGGACCCCCGCGGCCTCTCCCGCACCAAAGTGGCCAAGGCCATGCGCCACCTGGTGCACAAAGTGCTGCCTGGGGAGGAGGCTGATGCCCTCAAGGAGCCTCCCAAGCGCCCCAAGGGCCCCGAGCCCAGGAAGAAGCCAGACAAGGCCGGCCCCAGGGTCCTCTCCCCGCCTCCCCGGATGCTGTCCCCCCCTCCTCGGCCGTCCCCCTCCCCGAAGCCCCCTCCCAAGGAGGCCCCCCCGAAGGACGACCTCTCCGCGGGCCTGAAAAGCCTGATGTCGCGAGCCAAGACCCGGGAACACCGGCCCCACTCCAGGCAGCGCGGGAGGAAAGAGGGGACGCCCCCACCCGAGAAGACGGAGAAGCCCCCTCCCCTGCCGGAAGGGACGTCCTCCGAAGCCCAAAGCCCCCCGGAGGACGAGCGACCCTCCGAAGGCTCGGCCAAGCGGTCCAGCCAGGATGCCAGTCCCGCCAGCCAGGTACCGGGGCGCATGGCCTGGGTTTTGGACTCGAGAGCTTGGCTTGGGGTGGGGTGGGGGTACAGCGACCCTCTTGGTGTGCGATTTGCCCTTCCGTTAGGGCGGGGAACGGTGGCCCTTTGACTTGTGGACTTCAACACCCAGAATTCCCAAGCTTGACGTGCCGGCTCAGGAATTCTGGGAGTTGAAGTCCACAAGACATCCCAGGGTTCCCCCAGCCCCGCCTTAGAGAAGAGGTGGTGATAGGTGGGGTGATATGTAGTTTCCGGGTGCACGCTGCTAATTTTGCTATGCCAAAGCGTTGTTGGGCACGCACACTTCTTTTCCTCTGCACTTGCTAGTTCCAGTGGAGGGCATTTTGAGTTGGTTCTCGGCTTACGACCGCAAACAAGCCCAAAATCTCCGCCGTGAAGCAAAAGGCTCGTTAAGGGCGTTTTTGCCGAGGATTACAACTTTTCTCGACTTAGTCGTTAAGTGGATCGCATCATTGGGAAGTGAATCCAGCTTGCCCCCATTTGACACGGCTGGTCAGAAGGCCGCAAAAGGAGACGATGTGACTCCGGGATACCACGGCCATTGTAAATACGAGTCGGGTACCCAGCGCCTAGAATTTTGATCACGGGACCCTGGGAAGGCTGCAACTGTCATAAGTGTTTAAACCATCCCAAGCCCATTTTTTGCGGTGCCATTGTAACTTTGGGTAGTCACTAAGCGAATGTCGTAAGTTGAGGATTATCAGCAATCTTTTTGTGCTTCGCTTTGAACCCCAAAGCGGAGAAATGTCTGCATCGAGAGAGCAGGAGAGGCTCAGTTGGGGGTTTGGCTAATACCGCTTCGTGTGACCCGTTGGGCTGATAAAGGCGGAAGACTTGGGTTGGGCTGCTAGCGGTTCACACCGGTTTGGCCGAACTGGTTGTAAATTTTATGGCCAGTTCGGCGAACGAGCAAATCCCACCCCTGGCTGGTCCTGCAGAAGGCCAGAAATGGGCCCATTTCCGGCCTCCAGAGCAGGGGTCATCAACCTTTTGGACCTCAGGGACCACCCAACTCATCAAACTGGTTTTCGTGTCGATCGGACTGACCTTTCTCCATTTAACTATGGTCGAGGGGGGGCTTATCCTTTTATTTTAAACCCTCCATTTTAAAAGCTAGGATTGGTTTGGTCAGCTGGGAAGTTGGATGATTCTTTGAGGAGCGACCAGTTTGTGCTTACAGGCAGTCCTTGAGTTACGGCCACCGTTGAGCCCAACATTTATGATCGCTGAGGGAAACATTTGCGAAGCGGGTTTTGACCCCATTTTGACAACTTTCCCGGCCATGGTGGTTAAGCGAATGGTTGCATTTGTTAAATTAGCAACCCGGTCATTAAGCGAATCCGGCTTCCCATTGGCGTTGAGGGTCAGAAGGGATCACGTGACCCTACAACCGTCACAAGTATGAATCCGTTGCCAAGTGTCTGAATTTTGCTCCTGTGACCATGGGTTCGTAAGTGTGAAAAACAGTCATTTTTGAGTGCCATTGTAACTTTGAACGGTCACTAAATGAACTGTTGTAAGTCAAGGACCACCTGTATCGGATCACCATTAGTTTAGTGACAGTTCAAAAAATACCTCATACAATCAGCCACAACTCGCTTAATGATTGCTTTGCTTAGTGACAGAAGCTCCGGTCCCAATTCTGGTCGTAAGTTGAGGATTACCTGTGCAGTCCTCGACTTACAACTACAATTGAGCCCCAAGTTCCTGTTGAGGGACTTTTGCCCCGTTTTAACACCTTGCTTGTCACCACTGTTAAGCAAATGACAGCGCTTAATGAAGTTAGCCAAACCTTTGCTAAGCGAATCTGGCCTCTCCCTGGACTTTACCAGTCAGAAAGTGATCACATGACCCCGTGACACACCCCGCCACTGTCATAAAGATGAGTCGGTTGCCCAGTGGCCGAATTTCGATCACGGGAACGCAGGGGTTCCTCAACACTAAAGTCATAAGTGCGAATATCGGTCCCAAGTCCCTTTTTTTTGGGGTCGTCATTTCGAATGGTCACTAAATGAACCATTGTAAGTCAGGACAAAGTGTCAACTCGTCAAGCCTGTTATAGAGTTGCCCTAAACAAGGAGGCGGGGAGGATATCTGTAGCAGCAGGGCGGCAGCTTAAAACCAGAAGTACATTCCAACACTTCTCTTACAAAGATTGTAGCCTCGGCTACCGGATCTTCTTCCCAGGAAAATCCTTCGTTGGAGAACGTGATTGATGACACACCCAGGGGGAAGGGGGGGGAGACGGGGTCAGAGGCGACTGTAAATTAGGTATGGCGGAGTTGGTTCCTTTTGAAGCTTAGCTTGAGGATCATGATTTAATCAGGGCAATCGATGGAATCCTGACACAAAGCTGTAGCTGCCATCTTGGAATATTTGCACGGAAGAGGATTGCAAAACGGTCGCATCGCAATTTTGTCTTCCGCTTGTTCCCCACGGCACGTGAAGGGAACGCGCACCGAGCTTTTCCGCGCAAGTGTTTACAACTGGTGTGCACGCGCGTGTGTGTGTGTGCATGTGCGCACGTGCATGTAGGGCCTGCGCCACCCTGGGATATTGGATGTAGAGTTTGACCCGGTCTCTCCTTTTCCCCCCCCTCCCGTCAACGCGTCCGCTTCAAAGGAGGCGTCCCCGCCAGCCAAGCCGGAAGAGACGCCGCCACCTTCCCTGACCGCCGGAGGAGGGCCTAAGGAGGTGTGTGTTGTGGTGCAAAGTGTGGCTTTTTGAAGGCTTTTTGTGGGTCTTTGGTGCGCATCAACCTCGCAGGGGAGTTTAAGGGGGTTGGCATGAGGTGCGGGGAGACTGAGATCCAGAAAAACGGACTTTAGGGTTGTGGTGTGTGGTGGGAATGTGGCTGTCGCACAAACTCCTTGCTTTTCAGAGGCTGTTGTTGAGGGAGATGCCCTGAGGTTTGTGCCCTCTTATGAACAGAATAGAATAGAATAGAATAGAATAGAATAGAATAGAATAGAATAGAATAGAATAGAATAGAATAGAATTCTTTATTGGCCAAGTGTGATTGGACACACAAGGAATTTGTCTTGGTGCAAATGCTCTCAGTGCACATAAAAGAAAAGAGACATTTGTCAAGAGTCCAGAATCATCAGGTACGACACTTAGTAATAGCCATATAGAATAGAATAGAATAGAGTAGAATAGAAAT